AGGTACTTAACTAAATGTAAACAATCTTGAGATGTGTATTTAATGAAATATACATTTATAAAATGATTTTCCCTTACCTTCAAATACAAAATACAAATACTTAGCTTCATATGAAATTGCATGCCTATTTTTATACCTATTGATTTGTAAAGCATGTGTTTCAATAAAAAGATATATCAAGATTGTTTACATTTAGTTAAGTACCTAAACAAATGGACTATAGGAATACTAACAACTATTAAAATGCGAAACTGTGTCTGTTGCCTTTTTGTTTGTTTGTGTCTACTTTAATTTCGAAACGGAGCGACCGATTGACATTATTTTTATTTTATTTATTTAGTAAAACAGGACAGATATACGAACTACACGGAGAGAAATATCGAACCGAGTTAGTTTGAGCACTCTCTTAATTAATATTAGTTGATGTTCACAAGTTGTAGTCGAGAGGCGAGAGCTCAGTCGGTGTCTAAGGGTCGTATTCCAAAACTCTACTCAATGCTCAAGTCAGGATTTGAGCAGACTTGAGTATGATTTCAAGCACTGGAAATACGACCCTAATGGCAAGGACTTAAGTATGAATTTCAGTGCTCACTGCAATACTCAAGTCCTGACTTGAATATTGAGTAAGAGTTCTGGAAAACGACCCTGAGAGTCTTCCTAGATGAAATTACAAGTCTCCCCCTAAGCCTCTACACAACGCCCCCATTTTTTTCTGGGTCTCTTACCTAGGTTTGCAGCGCCCACAAGAGGGCGTTATCGCCCACTTTGGGTAAGGATGTTATACATCGAATTTGACTCCAGTAAATACACTTTGTATTTTTACGTGAATATCGTCGGAATTATGGCAGAAAAGGCAGTGTTTTAATATGAGTTTTTGTATTGCTACATGTAATAATTACTCTACTTCGTTGTGTTTTGATTTCAAAGAACCTTAGCATCATTTTCTGTTTTAATAGAAACTCATTTAAGGTTTAAATTTATATGGATCCCATATTTATTTATGGCATATTTATTTATTATATCAGGCACATCAACATCATATGTATTTGACAATTAACAAAACTTCGACATAAGGCTAGGATTGATAAATATGACAATTATAGACGTATGCAACATTTGTTATATACTGCACTATACACATCTGATTTTACGCTGATATAATATAATATAATAATAATAATAAATAAATAAATAATTTATTTAGCATGCAAGGCTCACTTGTTAGTAAATACAGACATTTTTAAACTTATGACTATTGTTAGTAAATACAGAGACAAAACATAAAAACACACATTATTTCGCTCGAGGCACCGCCGATTACCACATCACCTCACCAGAACCTGTACGAAATGACGAAGCATCGGCGCATCGACCTTAGCCGCAAACGTTTTCAGGATGCTGTTAGGACTAGAACACAGTCTAGAGAGTAGTGACGCCGTCTTTTTTCGCATCACAGCAAAGAGTCGTCTACACCCGCTTGAGCAAACATCGACGATGCGCTACAATGTCGCGGTAGTCCCAACAGCATCCTGAAACCGTTATTATATTGAACGCGCAGGGCGCCGAGTGCCTTCTATGTATAGTTAACCCACGGACCAACCGTGTAGAAGGATTGACAATACGCCTTGAATAAAGTTATTTTGGCTTCCTTACTACAGCGGGCGAATCTATGTGCCAAGATATTACATCTGGCAGCCAATGCCCTATATTCCCGATCAATATCAGTTTGGTCTTTAAGATCCTACGTCAAGTAATATCCTTAGATATTTTAATCTGCACACCCTCTTTAGTGCCACCTTATTTAGATTAATTCTAGGTTCATAAGACATCACTCTACCGGGTATACCAAAGACCATAAACTCACTCTTGACACAATTATATACAAGGCCGTAATGTAAATACACAATGCTTTTAAAAATAATTTACTTTAATAATACATTTTTTACACAAATTGAAAATTGAAAACAAAAACTGAGACACAACGCTTGAATCTATCAATATCTGCATCACATGTACCTCACAAATCATTGTAGCTTCTACATATTCTATTAATAGGCGAATTGAAGCCTACATTTGTTCTACACAAAAACAAATGCAACATCGTAGAAATAGGACTTGTAGAAATAGGTAGACATAGGATTTGGGATAATTGTAAGACACGGCCAATGAGATTCCGTTCAAGATATCTGGAAAGGTAATTATGGCCATTAATTCGGCGGGAGTGTGGCCGGGTGTGAAACCACCCCATCTCTTGTATTTTATGAGTGTATTTTTCTTATTAGTTATTCGAACGTTTTGTTGCTTTTCTTAACATTTCTTTATTCATCAATGGCTACAGTGTTCCATGGGTTTGTGTCACAGGAATTATACCAATCACGTTTTTTTTAGAACATTGAAACAGCCAGCTCATCTGTCTCGTCTGTATTTAGCTAAACGCAGAGCTGCCCGAAGAGTGTCACTCGTAACCGGAGACGTAAGTAAATTTTAGTTGTATCACACTTAGAACTAAGAATAGTTGTGGAGATATTGCACGTCGAGATTTGATGGAAATGTGTAAGGGAAGGGGAGCCGGTATTTATATTTGGTCAGCAATTATTTTATTTTTAAAATTACTAATGACACCTGTTTTTTTGTTTCATTTTCTAGAAGACAGGAGGACTCTCCAAAACAATGCCGCTAGCGTAGTTTTGTCGAGTTAAATGATGTTTTGAGTGATTGCAGATTCTAGCCGTACATGGGCTTGTGGAGTATGAAATGCAAAAAGAACAAGGTGCTGAATTGGTGTTTTGGAGCCAAGTCTTGACACCAACACTACCTATTTTACTAACTTAAAAACTTTTAAGATTCCTTGGCAGAACGTATTTGAGATTCATCGGTATTAAAATTACTTCTAGAGATTTTAGAAGCAATGGATCTGACCTATACGTACACACATCAAAAAAAGTTTGCGATCACTTCGAAAAACTGAAATCTTTTTTGTTACTGTAGATTATATTATGATTTTTTCTTCTTTTTAGATTCTTTATTTAAAAATAAATTAGAACATCATAAAACAATGACCCCGTTCAATTGTTTTTTCATATAAAAAGGCTTTCAGTCCTAGCTTACGCTCATTCAGAAATCTGATTTAGTCAATTATAAGCGATTCAAGATATTTTTCGCGGAAAGTTGTGATTGAAAAAATGCCAAGAGGATTATCAGAGGTTTTACGAGCTAGAATAGTAACTTTGAGGGAAGAAAGATACACCACGAGAGTAATAGCACGCAGACTTGCTATATCCCAATCCTGTGTCGTGGCTACGTTGCAGAGGTATCACGGAATGGGGAATTTAGCTGACCGACCCCGCAGCGGTCGCCCAACTGTTTTGACAGCTGCCCAAAAGCGCTATATTAGATTGCTGGCAGCCCGTGACCCAACAATCAACGCCACTAAAATAAAAGCAGAAGTCAGGGCCGCCTCTGGGCTTGAAGTTAGCACGCAGACAGTTCGCAATTGCTTGCACCAGGCTGGATTACGAGCACGGAGGTCTTGGCGAGCTCCGCTCAATTCCCGGTAACGTCAACAACAAAGATTACAGTGGGCTAGACTTCGGCAAAATGAAGAAGGTGAGGACGAAAACATTTGGCAAAACTGTCTCTTCGTTGACGAATCCCGAATCAGCACTCATCCAGATAACCGACGTGTCCGTGTCTGGAGAAGACCAGGCGACCGTGAAAGACAAAGAACTGCCACTGGAACAGTTCAGCAAGGCGGAAAATCGGTGTCCTTTTGGGGTGGCATTATGATTGGAGCTAGAACGCCTTTGATCCCGTATCGGGGCTTCATGACAGCAGACATGTACAAAGCAGTTGCTATTGATGATATCGTCAGACCATTCCGAGTAAACCATGGGCACCAATTTGTACTGGTCGATGATAATGCGCCCGCACATCGAGCTCAACGAGTTAATGCTGCTCTTCAAGAATACGATATCACACGATTAGACTGGCCTGCCGGCTCGCCCGACTTAAACCCAATAGAGCACGCGTGGGATGCTCTTAAACGAGCAGTATGGAACCGTGAGCCACGTCCCCAGACAGTTCCAGAGCTCAGGGAAGCCGCTATTGAAGAATGGGATAGGTTACCCCAGGAAATGCTGGATAACTTGATCCTCAGCATGCCCAGGAGGATCTTCGCATGTATTCGAAGCAGGGGAGGAGTTATTTTATATTGAATTCACACCTTTTAATAATAAATTGTTGTTTAAGTTTAATTAAACAGTCTTTTTCTTTCTATGAAATTTCTATCACTATTACATTATGATTAATGGCTCAATTTTTTAAAATAAATAATAAAAAATAGTTTTATATTTTAATTTCAAACAGGGTATTCCTATTTAAAGAAAGCATACAACATAGATTTTTTCTTGATAAAGTTAAATTTAAAGAATTATAGGAGCTTATGCTATTGATCGCAAACTTTTTTTGATGTGTGTACAAGGGATATGTGCTTATTGCACACCAGACTTCTCTTTTTATTTCACTTTTATTCCATGTTAATGGACTTAATTGTCTATCACAATTTCTGAGTTACTTGGCAGGCAGACAGGTTGCAATGCTCTTACTTTTTAATTCTTTGTCTATTTTTTCTTCTCGGTGTAGTCTTCGCATACGCGTCAGTAAATTTAGTTGAATAGAAGTATCAATAATTTGTATAGCAATTCGTTTTTGACCATTTTTTGACGCTGTTTTATTTTCATTCGACTAGCGGCGGCCATATTTGTTTGCCGCAATAAAAAAGATTATTGTAGTCTCTATATAAAAAAAAGCTATTGTAAACTCCCCTCTGTGTACACTATTATATGTTATTTTCATTGTAATTTTTAGTAATTATTCACATTAAAATAAATAAAGTGGTTTTCTAATTTACATTTTCTTTCATTTACCTCTACTAATCTGTGGACAATATTTGCGAATTAAAAATCTAGTAAGTAATAACAATTTCTTCATTGTCAATACAGAAGTGATACCAGTTGAAGGCAGTAACGGCGGTGGCGGCAAGCGTGCGGCAGTGGGTGAAGGTCGGACGCCTAAAGCTGCGGCTGAAGTTCTTGTAGATCTGACGTCGGACTCTGAAGACGAACTGCCCTTGAAGCGAAAAGTTCCACAACCAAAGGCCACTCCACCTGCTGCAGAATCTACCATAAAGAGTGACGATAACTACTCTTCATCAAATGGTAAGTAATCAGATACCACGTCAGCATGTAATACTTTAGTACTTTTGTCAACTTATACTGCCCTCATTATCATAACTAACGTAATCGACATTTGTAGTGAAATTGAGTTATTGACATATTTGGGTTCAGCAAAACGAGATCTACAACCCCCTCCAATCGGTTTTTTTTAATATCTTAAATCTTAAACATCTTATTTAGTTTCGCTTTTATTGTTAAGAAAAATCAATATAATTGACATTTTTTTACTAGCAAAAAAGCTAGGTATCAGTATCTCGAAGGTTACTGAAATACAAGTGCATTATTTATGATAAGGAGGGCAGTATATACATACCTCTTACTTAATAGTAAGGCAAGGGTCTCCTCTATGGAGAATTTTTATATAGTCCACTGTGAAGGATTTGAAAGGAAATCGAAGTATTAGCATTGTAGCAGTAGAGCTCCTTGTGAAAGAGTTCGTCCAGGGAAGTACTGTCACGTTACTATTTCTGCCTCTAAGCAGTAATATGAGCATTGCTGTGTTCCGGTTTTGAAGGGTAAGGATTGGTGAAATCTGCAATTTCACATAGGATTTGTCGACTTATGTTTCAGGGTGACAGGTGCAGTGGTAGTGCCTCTCAGATCCTTGCGATTTAAAGCTCTGAGTGGCACACGACTTGTTCGTGTTCCGTCACTTGATTAATCCGAATATTTCCCTTCACGGGCTTAAGATTCATCGTTAGTAATTATAAATTCCTTTCAACCAGCAGAAGCAGTATCATCGAGCGGATATCGGTCCCCTACAGGCGCGTCTGTGAGTAACTCTGGCGCGGTAATCTCACTGGACAGCCCGTCCCCGCCAGCCGCCTCCCCACAACCCGCGCCCGCAGACCCACTGCCAGACAGACCGCATCTGTCCATTACACCTGTTGAACGCTGTAAGCTATCCTTCTTTAAGGCTAAGGATACGTCTAGACAACCACATAGCTGAAATTACGCACTTGTAATTTTGTTATGTCGTTACTCGTAAAATGACTGACTTGTGATGAAATTAATGAATGGCTTTTTTACTTCGATTTTTTTTTATCGGAATAAAGTCCGCAGTTTTTGGTTTAGGAATCGTGATGCTACGACGATATTTTTTTAGTATACGACGTCTATATTGAAACAAAAAAAATGCTGTAAACAGAACTTTCTATTTTTCGAGATACGACAAGATTGCTTTCCAGAGTCGATGTAGAAAATGGAATAAAATTAAGTGTATTGTCGAGTTAGTCGTTGTAGTATTCAGATTGTGAACTATGTGTTCACTGGTTTTGTAAAAAATAAGGCAATGATTTACAAATTTTGTGCAGGTACAAGCAACAACAGCGAGCGGGAAGAGAGTGACACAGCTCCCTCTCACTGGGCGCCCTACGCCGACGCTGAGAGGGATAATCACGATAGTTACAGAAGGTACAATAGAAAACTAATTTGCTACTCAATCTTTCTACGTAAACGAGAAAAATATCTACCGAGTTTTTTTTTTTCTTAAACCCATCATCGCCTATTGCTCCAAGATACCATTTACCAAACCTACATTAGCCATTTTTTGCGTATTCTGTAATCCCAAAGCGGGAAATTCCTTCTATGGAAAATGTTTTCAATATCTTAATGCCACAACTCTATACAACAGGTACTGACTGAGGGAGAAGAGTGACCGGCCCTCCTATGCTAGCAGTCACTCTTCCGAAGAAGATCAAGAGCCCTCCTACCCGGAGGTGCCCATCCTACCAGCGCAGTAGGCATGAAATGACCACCAATGATCGTCGAAACGTAGATTTGACACGTGTACCAGCGAATGTGTTAGCAAAGATTTTAAAAAGTATTGCATTGCTGTATCACTTATGTTTACTGTGTGCATATTTTTGGAAAATTTATATCAGACAAATAACGCACTCTACCAAGGTCATGGGACTAGCTAAGAAGGCGAAGAATAAACCAAGTTATCTCTCGCTACTAAAGGATACTTTTCCGATATCATTGAAGTAAAAGAAAAGCAATAATTAAACTTTAATCATGGAAATCTTTGTGCGGTGGTTTTTAGGCGAACGATATGATAATTTGGACTTAAGAAGTGACGTTATGTCAAGGACTTTAAAAGTGCATAAAATACTTTTAAGTTTAAAAAATGCATTTTTTATTTGAATCGTAGTTTCAATTCTTGTATATGTCAGGGATTTTTGTATGTATTCCTTACGTGGAAAAACGTGATCATTGAATATGGCTGCATGTACTGCAGATTTACAATGTTTACGTCAATTACAAGAAATATATTGACTGATGATAAATTAAATACAATAATGCGCTGGGTAATCAAAGGTACTAAATATAGGTCATCACTCCAAGCCAACCCTAGAACACCTAGACTGTAGCAATTTAGAAAAGTTCGTTTCTTAAATCGGTCCAAGAATTGGAAACGGAACCTCCTCATCTATCATTCGATTCTTCACAGCTGTGTCATGACTCATGAATATCGTCATATAGGTACACTTCAAGAGTTACACAAGCTTGGCGCTGCAGTCTCCCCTCTACAAATTTTCATACAATATTACAATTACACTCAAATTCAATTCGAAAAGGTCCAAAGGTCAGTGTCAAGCTTGATGTTCTCTTTGCTGTATTGCTGTAAAGGAACTAAAAGTTTTTAATCAAAAAGCGCTAACCTCCTTTCTGTGTTCTTAAAAAGAGAACTAGATGGCTACGAGCAAATCTAGCAAGAAGTAACTTTATTGCGCTTAGATAAGGTATTTTAAAACGAACTAGGCGCTTTCAACAGCATTTTTTGTTTTGCGCCTAGTCTTTCATGTGCAGTTATATCAAAAAGATAGTGTATGATTTACAAACTTGATTTTTTATTGTGAAATAGCAAGTAATGACCTACATAAAGGTATCTCGCAAATAGTTATTTCGTCAAAATCACATTCTTTACTTTTCCACTGAAAACACTATGTAATAATTTTTCAGAAAGGTTATGTTTCTGGTTTGGCAGTATTGGTTGGTTTCTGTTTAATAGAGCAACAAGTATGTAGAAAAGAGTAGCTATACCCTAGAACTTTGCTTTTGTGGCTGTCACAGTGGTATTTACATAACTGCTTGTTAACATTATCGTCTTCTTAAAGGTAAAACCACATAAGTGACATTTTCCACAAAAAATCTTCAAATTATGTACCTGTTGTTAGAAAATCACAATCTTTCTGCAGATAAAACTCTTATTTTTGTGGAAAATGTCACTTACAGGGTTTTATCTTTAAACAGACGATATGGAATTTACTTTTATTATCCTCTTTACACAGTCACTCTATCGTGTATGATCAGGAGCATACCTACAGGATTGCGCGTGGGAAAGCCTGCACGCGCAACCATGCGCGATTACCTATTTGAAATTTTTTAAGCTAACGTTCTGTCGCGTGCGATGGCTCGTGTTCGTTTTTGTTACAACGGAGAGTCCGTGTATAGGCTAATAGCGCAGGATAGACCGCGTGAAACTGACGCGTGTTGGAGAGCGCGATTGCGCGCGCGACTGACAAGCGCAATCTCGCGGTCTTTCCCTTTTCCATTCGACGTCTTGACACACGCGCGCTCAATCGCGCAAGATTGCTGTATCACGCGCGATAGTGTCTATGTAGCCCGCAAATCTACGCATTTCTATGTTCTTTGTCATCCATTTGTAGAATTTTGGTTGAAACATACTATACATTGAAATATAATGTTCCCTTTTTGTGTTAGATAAAGACAAATCCGAATTTCAACTTTTCGTTGAATGAAATTCGCATTTTCCTGACCACAAAAACAAAGTTTTTGCAGGTAAATAAAGGTTTTTCTTTTTTTTTTATGTTAGAACCAATTAGACAATGATATTGATAACCCACAACTAAACATTGTGTTACATGGTGAATTATCATAAAAAGAATAAGTCTTGATAGTGGGTGTGTACGCGATCGACGATTATGTAGATTAAATCTTATAGTAACTGCCCAAAGATGTCTAAGGGTCGTATTCTAGAACTCTACTCAATGCTCAAGTTAGGATTTGAGTATGGTTTAAAGCACTTGATATCATACTCAAGTCCCTGCCATTAGGGTCGTATTTCCAGTGCTTGTGTTGCCAGTGCAATCCTGACTTGAGCATTGAATAGAGTTCTAGAATACGACCCTAAGAGTCGTATTCTAGAACTCTACTCAATGCTCAAGTCAGGATTGCACTGGAAATACGACCTTAATGGCAGGGACTTGAGAATGATTTCGAGTGCTTTAAACCATACTCAAATCCTGATTTGAGCAGACTTGAGTATGATATCAAGCACTGGAAATACGACCCTAAGGGCAAGGCCTTGAGTATGATTTTCAGTGTTTACTGCAATACTCAAGTCCTGACTTGAGTATTGAGTAGAGTTCTGGAATACGAGACATTATTGCACCATTTTAAAGTATTAAAACTGGTTGTCAACACCATTTCAAGATAAAGCAACGAGTTGACACTCGGATTTTGGGATGATTTTTCCCACGAGTTCTATTATTATTGGAATATAATTGAACAGAACAATTGGGACAAAAAAGTCCCAGTAGTTCTATAATAAGATACTCAATAGAACTTAGTGGGAACGAAGGGTACAAAGTATTAAAATGTAGTAGGTGACTTTTGGATATCTATACTTATTACTTACATAAACCTCGCTTTGTATACGCATGAAACACCACTATCCCGCTCTTGGCTTCGCCATAGTAGGGGAGATCAAAAGTAATACCTTGGTTTTAGTCGCAAGTACGCTTTGCGACTTTACAAATGGTCGCACAATTAAAGTTTGACTGATAGGTAAAACTAGCGCTTTTATCTCTTTAACTAATTCGTAGAACACTGATGGTATTACGTTAACTAGCCAATGGATGAGGTAGGAATAGTTTTAACTAGTAAGTTTTAGAAATTATAGGAGGAACTTTTGTAAGTTTGCTTCCTTTTGAAATGTTCTAATGCTCGTTAAAGACGAGCAGGGGTCATGCCCATAGGAATAAAATGTTAACACATTGCATGTTTCAAAGAGTTCTATCAATGAAATAAAAGGCCAATAATTTATTTACGACACTCCGAAATATCATACATACGTGTTTTGTGTAACGAAATTTATAATAGTAATAGTACCAAAAATAAAACATTAAGTAGCGTTTGCAATAACAAACGTTTCGTGTAGGTATGTAATAAAATTAATTTTTTTATACCGAAAACACTTTTTTGTGTGTGTTAGGACTCGGAATTAAGGCTTTTAATTTATTTATATGTAAAGCGTAGACTAATGATGTGTATTGTATTATAATGAAGTTAATGGCTTCCGTACGATCACATTTTCAACAAAATTTAATGTTACGATGTAAAAATAAGTAGATTAATAAATGTAAATACAATTAATTTAGTGTTTGACTCTACTACACCCTTGAATAAGTTATGTAACTACTCCGGACACAAACTATTTAATTTGCTTTAAGCGAATTTAATAAAGATGAAATGGAATATAATAAAAAGGTAATGGAGCGAAAACGGCGCACTCCGACTTTACTATCCGCTCTTCAAGAGCAACGAACTCTCCTGCGCAAAGCTTTTTAATTGTTGGAAAAATTAATGAATGGCCGTGCCGATGCCGCCGCTGAGATAGGTACAACAATAATAATTATCTATTCACTGTGTGTGTGGATCAATTTGCACCAGCAGCGGTGGCGACAGGCGAAGCCTGAAAGCAGCTTGTACTCTGCGCGCCCTTCTCGTTTGTACCACCCGCAAGTAAAGCCTCGCACCTTCCGTTCTTACTTCACTATAAACCGATATTCTGTCTCTCTCGTACAACACACCGGGCCGGGGGACACGTAGCGTGGCTCGTTTCATCCGAGACCGAGTTCCGCGGTCGTCCGCCGTCTCAATGCGGCGTTGACGTGCGTTCTTGTGTTTCTTGTCGAAGCCACTGTTATTTATTTGTTTATGCTCACAAGAGAATTCCTCGACACCAAGGATTGGTTGCAGAGAGTGTACTGTACGAGTGTATGTGATTATTGGAGAATATTTGAGTGGAAACGCGTCGACTGTGCTCGTTTTTTGGTGCTGAATGGTGATTAAAAGTAATTTACTTTGCTTTTACAGTGTAGGGTCGGTGCGTATCGATCGTTTGAGAGACAGTGGATTGTTGTGGTGGCGTGGAGCAGTCCTGTGAACAGTGAGGTAAGTGGTGAAGCTGTAGAATATTGCTTTAGGAGGTGTACGATTCGTTGGATAGTCAGCCGTCAGTTCGTCCGTCGACCGGTGCGCGGCGCGATGCACGCGGGGCGAGGGGTGGCGCGGCAGACACGGCCTGCGGTTGTACGTGCCGCGAACATCGGTAATAGCTTCACATTCTGAGTAATGAATGCTCTTCCTTAATGGGATAATGGCACGCCAACCGTTCGAAAAATTTATAAAGAGACCGAATTGCTCCGTGTCAACAAGCGGCTATTTGCCTTCCCATTTAGAACCCGAGGGAGCCGATAAGGCGAGGCAAGAGCCGGCATCGAGTACCTTTCCTGTCCTCCACCTTGTAAATATAAATTTAGTACTATCGACACATCCACATTATACCTTAGATACCTAGGTACCTACTTATAATAGTAATAATTAATAACTAGTTAGGTATAGGAATACTTATCTAAGTAGACAGATATAGACAAACTAATCTCAAAATAGGGTAAGTAAATTGCACATAATAGCATCTTCGTGATATTTATCCGTTGTCTAGAAGATAGCTGCGTACATACGTATCTAAAAGACGAAACCAGGAAGGTGGAAGTAGTTGCTCACAAAACGCTCGCTCCTAAACGATAATAAAACGTGAAAGCGTCGACTCACAAAGGATTTTATTGAAGGGCTTCGAGCACCCTAAACCACTTTTAACGGACTCAATAGCATTTGCAAATGATGAGTAGACACCTCTACTAACCTAACAAAACAAACACTTATTGGTAACAAACAAAGAATCACATGCATATCGAGATCGTTTACACTTCAATACAACGCAATATCTTTATACTGGAAAGTTCTTTAGCATTGCTTGATAGTTTTCTTATTAATCAAATGCACTCGGAAAATGTCAAACGACTCTGGCACAGTATTATCATTAAGTCATGTTTAATGTGCTTTATCAAGAA